GAACGCAGCGCGCTTGATGGCCGACTCCGGGGCAGGGACAGTCTTCGCGGGCATGATCGCTACCTCCTTCTTCTTTGTGTAAGAAGCACAAGAAAAGACATTGAGGAGAGCAAACAATTTCGGGGGCAGCAACTTCACGATTTGGTCACTAGTTTTAGAGAACGGCAGCACAGCAGCATACAGACAGTAAAGACCGAAGATTGTAAGATTACAAGACACAAATAAAAATGAAGTAATCCAATCAAACCTTACACAGCAGCCATGTCAACTTAAATCATGCGGGCGAGGAAACGGTTGATGAGGGTGTCGCGGTTGCCGTAGTCACCGCCCTCAACAAAGTGGCGACGCTTCTGGCGCATGCCACCGGTGGGCGGCGACAGCTTGAAGGGCCACATTCCGTTCGTCACGGTGCGGAAGTGCTTGCCCGCGGTGTAGATCTGGTTCACGATGTCCTCGGCGCAAACAATGTCCTCGTTGTTGTACTTGTCCTTGATCATCTTGTTGTCGGCGATCTTCACGCGCTGGCCGTTGACCTTCAGGTGCCCACGCTTGTACACCATCGCACGGACCGTGCGCAGGGAAGGGTAGCCGTACGCAATGTAAGGCTCCACGGCACGGAGCATGTTCTCCATCGGCTTGTTCAGACGCACGAAAACTGTGTTGAAGATCTGGCGCAGACGCAGGAGCTGAAGGATCTTGCGCTGCTTCGGAGCCACCTTCGCAATACCGCGGATGCGGGTGACAACAGCCACCTTCGGCTTTGCCTCAAGGTAGTAGTTCCCGCGGCTCTTCGCCAGGCGGCGAAGGTGCACCAGCTTCTTCTCGGCGGAACGGTACTCACGGGAGTACTTGAGGCCACGCGCGTAGGCAAGCTTCTTCAGCGCGACCTTTGCGGCCTTGTTGGCAGCAATTGCCTTCTTGAAGTTCTCCGTCTGTTGCTGCTTGAACGCAGCGCGCTTGATGGCCGACTCCGGGGCAGGGACAGTCTTCGCGGGCATGATCGCTACCTCCTTCTTCTTTGTGTAAGAAGCACAAGAAAAGACATTGAGGAGAGCAAACAATTTCGGGGGCAGCAACTTCACGATTTGGTCACTAGTTTTAGAGAACGGCAGCACAGCAGCATACAGACAGTAAAGACCGAAGATTGTAAGATTACAAGACACAAATAAAAATGAAGTAATCCAATCAAACCTTACACAGCAGCCAT